CTGGACAGTGCTTGGGGAGAACGGGAAGGAAACTGTAGTGAAACGTTTTATTTGACACTGCTCAACACATTTATTAAGAGTTGAAGAGATCCCCACGTTGCTGACAGTATAATGTCATTGGTCAGAGTTAAATGCTGTGTGGTATTTGTGCACCAGCTATCCTGAAATCTACGAGACTTTTGCTGGAAAACAAAAGCATGAAGGCTGCTAGATGCTCTTAGCAGAGGCATGCAGGCAGGTTTCTAGCAAGCAAGCACATTTGCTAGGACATATTGCCATTAGAGTAAGGCTTTGGTGTGAGAGCACTTCTGCCAGGGAGACCCGTCCCACCAAAAGGGATCCAGTCAGGTGGCAACGGCAGGAGTTTGGGATTGTGCTGGCTCTATGCACCGCGTGTGCTCACCCCCGTGAGCCCAGCAGGGTTTGCCCGAGGCTGAAAGAGACTTTTCTAACAGCCGTCCCCGCGTGCAGCAGGAGCTGAGGGCCCCCGGAGGCGACGCCTCCGCTGCAGCTCCCTGCGCGGAGCGGCTCTGTGCGGGCGTGCGGGGTGGGCGCAGGAGCAGGGCGCAGTTAATGGATGGCGCTGTTGGAGGGAGAGGATTTATTGTGGATCTGGAAAGGCTCCGGCCACGCTTCGTCATCAGGAAGCGGACGGGAGCGCGGAAGGGAGCACAGCACCCTGCTCTGAGGGTTAGATGTCCACCTCCAACAGATGCCCTGGACAGGAGGGTGTTACACTGCCCTTCCTAGAGTGCTCAGGTTTGGGGAGCCTATTACTTTGCAACCGGTGGCCTTACGATCTTTTAATCCAGGACAAGGGGAAGGAAATCAGTCTTCTAAGAAACAGGGATGCATTTGAAACAGTATCTCCAGCTAACTGACTTGGCAAAAGATAGCAAAGATTCCTTACAGTAACTGCATTTCTGGATACTAGAAGTACTTACCAAACTAGTTGATTCTCTGTAGTTACTTGAGATCAATTAAAAATAAAGTATTTTTTTAGTACTTCTGTAATTTGTGTGGAACAGTTGTATTATTCACTCATGCATACCGCATCCCAACTACCTGAAATACCGTGCAGGAAAATTTATAGAAAAAACAGGTCCTAGATTAATTAAAGTCACTGTTGTCCCGGGCCGTACTCTAAACCAAGACGGCTTTAAGTTGGCTTGAATTGTTACTGGCTTGAATAGTTCCCAGCTCTAGAGCAAACACCAATAATCCTACAGAGTAAACTACTCAACTACGGCTGCTAGTTAACTTGGAAACATTAGTGCAAAACACAGAACCGCGTCACCACAAACGCTCCACCAAGGCACTTGGGCCTCCAGGTCTCCACAGCGCAGCGCAGATCCCCAGGGACGAGCGGCGCAGCCGGCGGCTACACCCCCGTGCGGCACTTGGGTAAAATGGGCCCGTTCAGCTCCGCCAGCCTCCTCTTCCTCACTGGAAAAGAAGAGCGAGAGGCGTCGGACGCGGCAGCGGGAAGCGCCTGGGCAGCAGCCTTGCCCGAAGAAACAGCAGAGCGGGAGCCTCCGAGTTCCTGCCTCCAGGAGGTGCTTTTCTGTCTGCTTTTTGTAACCTTAAACTTGTTAAAGAAAGTAAGTTGAAAATTCTGTCCCTGTGAGTTTTGTGGCTAGAAGCTACTCCGAGCCCAACCTCCCTTGTGTCACAGACAGTTACATTTATAGTTCACCTGGTTGTCTTTGCAATCTCCCCGCCACAGCGTCTCTCTTACAAGACATCTAATGCTGATATACTAAAATATGTGAAGAACAATTTTTCCCTTCCCAGTACTCTCAAATAAGAAATGAGATGGATTTTTTTTTTTTCAATCTGAACCCTTGTTATCAGCCTCCTGTCTTTTGACCGTGGTTTAACAGGACCAAAGGAGTCTCATACCTTCTCTAAAAGCTAATTTGTAGCTCGGACAGCTTCGGCTGTGATTTTTCAAGAAATATTTGCAAGGAAAAGAAAGAGAAAAATAAGCTGGAAGGAGAATGCAGAAGTTAGTTAATGAGAATGAACATAAAAGCCCTCGCAGCCAGTTTGGACAGGGCATTTTAAAGAAGAGGAGCTTGAGGACCAAGACCAAATTCTGGTAGCGTCGGGTGGTGGCAGCCGAGAGCACCGCAGTGGGCACACAAGCAGAGAGCTGTTGCTGACAGGGAGGAAAATAAAGTTTTTCTATACTTATACATTGTCCAGGTGTAGAGCTGAGAAGCTATTGCCAGACCTCATCGCACCGATGAACGCGAGCTGTGAACAAGAACCAGATCACGTAATGCAGAGCTGCACGGCGACCGTGGGCAAGGCAGCGCCGTGAACCCCCGTCACGTCAGAGGAGCAACAACCAAAACACCGGATCCGTGTGTCTTTCGGATGACTACAGTGTGTGGGTCCCGTTCACTGCTGCTTATGATGGGCAGTGCATGTTAAGCCTTCCAGCTTGCCCACGCTGTGCTTCCCGAGCAGTTCTGATGGCTTCATGGGGGATATTAACCCAACCCGGAGCCACGCGGCTTCACGCCTCTCTCCAGAAATACCTTCAGACTGATTTACTGGAGGGAAGTGGCCAAGCCCCACGGCCTTCCAAGTTAGGTCTACCATTTTTCATCTGCTTGTTAGAGGGGCAAGTAACCCAGCGTAAGGCGAGAGCAGCTGGCAGGAATCCGAAGCCCTGCCGGTTCGCCACGCGCCGGCCGTGCGGCCCGTCGCTTGCTCTGCCAGCACAGCAGCAGCTCCCGGCTCCTCCACGCAGCACCCACGGGTACAAACAGCATCATCCAGCGGCTCCGGCTGCACCTCCTCCAAAAGCAGGGACCACTGGGCCCTTGAGGAGGCCTGCTCAGACCCGCGCACGCCGAATCGCAGCCCTGACCCGCGTCCCCACTCACCCAGGTCGTTGTTGCTCATGGTGGCGTTGGACGCGCGCAGCCGCGGGCCCTGCTGGGTGAAGTGGTAGCCGAACTTGAGCAGGGAGGTGTTTTTCTCCAGCATGTTGGCGATCTCCATTTCTACGTTGTTGCCCAGGGGCTGGCTCTTTCAAAAGCAGAAGAAGAAAAGCACGTGAGGGCACATGTGAACCTAACTCAGTGACTGCCTCCTCGCTGTTGTCCTTGGGAGACTCCCCTGACCGCCCTCTTCCTTCGGATATATTGGTTTATTTAGCTTTTCTGGCCAGCGAAACCAAGTGATCCCAGTAACTGGCTCACGTCCCACGAGCTCTGCCTCCCAAGGCTGCGGCGTGGCCTGCAGGGCCTCTCTTCTTCACGGGCCCTGGGCTCCCAATGGCTGAGCTGCTTCAGCATCTAAGCCTGAGACCTCCCCAAAGCGAGGCAGCGGTGGCAGCAGCTTTGCTTGGCCGGAGCTCCTGTCCACACCTGCCTTACCTGGTTGTCGATTCGGAGCTCTACGAGTGACGTGTTAAACTGGAGGGCCTCGACAATGGCCAGGATCCCCGACCCAGAAATGAAGTTTGACTCGATGTTCAGGCTCTGCAACGTTTTATTCTCCTTGAGCATCTCTGCCAGAGCCTGCAGGGAGACGCACAGGGAGACCCTGCAGTTATGGAGAGAGCTACGTGGGCTCGACTCTCATCTGGTCTGGATGGGCACGTGAAACACAGCTAAAGAACATGTGCATGTGCACACACGGCTGCATATAAACAGGAATAAATGGAGTATGAGGTGCAACGAGCAGAAAGGGACACATTTCTTCTCAGACCCTAAAAAAATACATCACTAGGAAGTCAGTTCTTGTCTCTCTCTCTTCTGGGAGATTCTAAAGAACAAGTATGCTGTCTAATAGGATTAAGGGATTGTGTCTTGGAATAAAGAACTGACATCTCCATTGTGGGAAAAAAGGAACAGAAGGAAACAAAATCTGTCTATTGCTTGCTTTCATTAGTGCTTGTGAAACTGAAATGCATGAAGCAAAAAACAGAAGCTCAGAACATGCCAAATGCAATGTAATTCATAAAAGCAACAAGTAGCTCTGAAAATACCCAGCATCAATTCACACGGCAATCTCCTTGCACCATTTAGCTTATGTGATACAGCACGTACTTACCAAAGCAACTGGATCATTGCTCCTTGTTCCAACTATGCTGAACTTCTTTACATAGGTGTTACTCTTCAGTGCTTCAGCACAGGCTTTTAAAGTGGCGATGGGAATATTCTGTGAAAAGGAACACAGAAGATGTGTTAGGTCTTCATATTGGTGGTACTTGGCTGCGACCAGTCTTTTACGTTCAAACAATGTTTTAGAACTATTAATAAAGATCAACTATCACAACCAAGCAGCAGCCATTCTCAAACATTCTCAGGGAAATCATGAGGGAAATGATACATGTTTTTTTAAGTTACCTAGCTAAAGATATCATGCCTTAAGGGTTGTGGGAATCCCTTCCTCCTGCTTCCCACTAACTCACTGCCTTGACTGAGAGGTCTAATGCCTCTCCTGTTATAAACTCAGGTTCTCAACAACCAGGTGGTGTGGGGATGTATGAGCACAAACACACTATTACTGTGCCTTTTTAATGATAATGACTGCATCGAGTAACATTCATGGCACATTCAGGAATATTTCAACCTATGGGCCCTAGTTCACAACCCGAAATGATCTTGCAGCACCAGCAAGAGCCCCTTCTGTGTGCTCTGCACAACGTGCTTTATACAACTCCTTTCAGACTATCATTTGCCGTCCTGCCTCGGCTTGGAAAGTAAATTCATTTTTCTTATTTTGAGTTACCTACACAATGAGTATTTTTCACTCATCAGAGATACTCTTTTCAGATGCAAGTAATTTTCCGTTAAGCTGTATTACCTGCTTGGATTTCTTATCCTGGTTTATACAACCTGGAAACACCTATAATCAAAGCCATCTGCAGATAATGCAGAGCCAAGCAGGGTATCATCTCTTCCACTCCCCAGTTTTCTGAAGCAGAGCCCCAAAATCATGAGTCTAGCCCTAAAAGAAGTTCCTACTTTTTGCAAACTTGATGTCCTTAAGGGACACTCAGGATCATTTGCCACAGTTGAAAATACTGAAATAAAAATCATTTTACTAAAGGTGTGTGTAAAAGGCTGGGCACGTGTGTAACATGCAGTTAACTGTGTTCCTGCTTTTCAATACCTCACCATTTAACAAACCACATGCGACGGGGTGGAGTTACAGAGGGTGGATGGACACTGGACTGTTTAGCATGTACACGTGTCCCAGAAGCAACAAAAAAGGTCGTGCTGTGCCATGGTCTCTGCTATCTGTGTTTCAAACGTTTGCTCTCATTTCGAAGGGAGCAGAGCAGGAAGGAGCCAATACCCCAATATTATTAAGGTTGACTTCCTCAAGGCCGGGGTCGTTGTTTTGTATTTGCCTCAGAGTCTCTTCCACATCTGTTGAGTTCGGCTCTTCATCGGGAACTGGTTTGTACTGCGTGGGCTTAATCACACCTGCAAGACAGGAGCGGAACATGCAGAGCCCCGCGCGCCCTCGGGGCGCTCCTCAGGGTCCCCGCGTGGCTGAGCACCAACACACGGCCTGTGTGGGACCGCGGCAGCTCCCCCAGCATGGTCTGAGAGGAGGGAGCGCTTGGTGGCGTCTCCTGGGATCGCGCGGCCCCTGCGGAGCCCCCGGACGGGCACTTCCAGGGCTGGACACCAGGAGACGTCCGACTGCAGAGGAAACGTTTCCCAGCCAGGGCTGCGCAGCTGCAGCAACGGCCCAGCCCAGGAGAGGGCATTGGGTCTCACACCACCTTGGCACGAGGACCAAGGAAAACACAATCTAACCCACAGCCTAGGAATAACAACTCCCACGTTTTCTCTGCTGCCAAGTACTGCAGATCGTAAAGCACTTCCAAATCACTTACTGTTGAGCCCTTCTTTGTTCACTATGGTGCTGCTCCCCAGGGCCTCGTAGTACTGCTGGTTGCTCATCAGGGTGTGCATGCCCAGGATGGCTGCGGGAAAGGAGAGGGAGAAAACGGGCTGAGATACTGCGGAGTGGGAAGGCAGGAACTGGCGCAGCTCTGCGCTTGTCACACCTGCAGAGCTGCCCGGGTGGGCGCCACGAGCAGGTCTCCTTCTGCTCTGCAAGCACCGAGCAACATGCACGGTGGGAGCAACCCCCCCAGCTCCCGCTAACGCCACACAGCTCCACCGTGTGCCTTCATATGCAAGAGTGGGTTGATTTATAGGAGAAGAGGAACATTGTCCCGTGGATAGCAAACAGGCAAACAGCAGGCTCAGCCAAGCATCATATAAAAGTATGAAGTAAAAAAATGCTATTGGAAAGATTTAATGCAAGGCCCAGTGCAGCAGGAGCCACAGCCCCATCTGTGAGAGTAGCTGCGACACGCTCAAAACCTCTCACACAGGAACTCTCAGACACCGAGGCACTGGGTGACAGCCCAGGAACTTATTCTCCTTTTGGCAAAGGTCAGCAGTGGCTTTGAACTGATCTCTGTGCTTTTTAATACCTGGCAATTGATATTTTAAACACCTAGGGCTGCACGGCAGAAAGGCTGAAGTAAAGAAAATGATGGTGCAAGCACACTTCAAAGACTGCAAAAGTACAAAAAGGCAAATATCTGGTAATTTGTGAATCTCAAGCTCATGGCTACAAAACCAAAGGGCAAACATAGACATATACTTAGCAAGAGGCCTGTGAGGTCTGCTGATGTTTGCTAATGAACAGCGAGAAGCCAAGGCTAGAAACACTTGGGCAAAGATTCTTCTTATAAAAACAAACTGGTTTCTCACAGAAAGTTTGTGTTTAGAAATAAAATGGGGTTTCAATCTTTCTTTTTTATATAGATACACAGCTTTCTACAGAATGTTGCACACGTGTAGACAGTTTCTGTGAACAGACACACGTGTATCATCCCAAAGCACGCGGAGGACAAGAAGGTGATCAGGATCAGGACATCCCCCACGGTCACAGCGCGTCGCTCGGCCACGTCCTGGCTGCGGGAGCCAGGGAACCCCACCATCCACCCGACCCACAGCGATGCCCAGGGCGGTTTCACAGAGCCAAGCAGCATCTGTGAACGACCGCAGTTGTTCTGCGTGTGCCGGTCTGTTTTTTAACTGGCTTCTTCTCTCTGCTCTGTGCTCACATCTTCAGGGCTGCAGCGCTGCACCTGGGGAAGGCGGTTTGCGGGCACAGCGTTTCGAGGACGCCCGCACGCGCTCCCAGGCAATAGCAAAGCGACTCCACCCGCCGCGCTTGTCCTTACGTGTTGTCCAAGGGCCCTCGGGCTGAACTCGGAGCGCTCCGCTCCAGCCTCCTGCAGGTGACCAGGGCACTGGAAGCAAACAGCAGCCCTCCCAGGGCTCGTGGGGAGCCCCCGAGCACAACAGCATCCCAGCCGGGCTTGCAGCAGGCAGGGTGCAAAACGCCAAGGCAGGGGATGAGCCCTGCTAACGGGGCAGGAGCTGCTTAGCAGTCTCAGCAGGTTGGGAAAGCAGCGCTGCCACCGTCACTACTGAGACTTGGGCGCAGCCTGTGCCACATCACTTCTCCCGCTGCCATTTCAAGGGCATCCTACCCCAAATCACAGGATAAACAGCCCTAAATAGCATTTCTCTGCGAAAATAATCACTTTGCAGGTTTGGAGCCCAGCAAACCATGTTTGATAGGGTAGGATTTATAGGATGTTAGGAGCACAGTAAAGAGGCAAAACCAAGAAATGCAGTGCTTGCCCAGAGCCTGCTGGAAGCTGTAGTGCAGTAATGCACCAGAAGGTGACACCATCAAGATTAATGTGGTTATCCTACAGGTTTTCCACCTGCAATCTTCTATCAAGAAGGATATTGCCACCTGCACACCTGAAAGAGGCAGAACTGGAAGAAGCAGCCAGGAGCAGAGTGAGCGATGCCGGGTGCCAGAGCAGCAGGCGGCCCGGGTGCGCGTGGTAGAGCCACACGGAGATGCTCACACTGCCCTGGCCAAGGCATCCCACCTCATCATCCCCGTCCGCGCGGCGCCAAGGGCAGCCGAGCCCGGGGAATGGATCCATCCAACAGCTCCGGAGCCCTGCGGAGAGCCCCGACGGCGGCACTGCCACCTGACCGAGCCTTCCACAACGAGACACGTCAACGTCAGCGCCCTGCACCGAGGGCCAGAGCTGGGCTCTGGCAGAGCAAAACCCACCCCTGCTCCTCACCCTGCCCCGGTTCCCAGCATGGGCAGCTGCACCCGCTCGGATCACACAGACCCTATCTCCTTCCCCAGGAATCTGTCCAGAGGCCAAACCTTTAGCTGTTAAGACTGTGCTGCTGAACTGGCATTTGCATTAGTCATAGCAGAATTTAAGTAAATCACTGATCCCTCCTGCATCCTGCTGGGCTGGTTTTAAGAGCGCTCTTATGGGGCAGGGAATATACGCAGCAGTCTGGGCCCTGCTGGTCTGTTCTGCTCATTAATTCATTTCAACTTGATCCTAAAGGTGAGAGATTGCAATTGCCAGGATTCGATGGCAGAGGCAAGAGAAGACACCAAACAGGGTGCTCCATTCCCTTGATAAATCCTTTATCTTCTTATTCACCTTTGGTCTGTGCTCCTGATGATAAAATCAGACAATGGGCTTGTTGGGCTGAGAGAAACTTTAAATACACATTTCCCTTCTAGCGAATAAACAAATCCTGTAAGAACTAACAGACTTCATAGAAACAGCAAAAATCTCATTCAGTCATTTCCCATAAAAGAAGGTCGAAGAAGTAAAAAAAAAATAGTAGTGAAGTAACCCAAACCCTGTTTCATGCAAAACTGTGTTACCAGCAATGTCACAGAGCTCTGCCTCAGAAGCGTGAGCAAGGGCTTCCTCCAGTTCTGGCTCCAGGGTCACACTTTCCAAAACAGGATTCGCTGGCGTCTCCTTGGGGATCCAAGCTTTTCCTATAAACACAAAGTGAGGTCACTTCCATTGCAGTTACAGCACCTGTTTCGCAGGATTTTACTGGCTTTGCAGGTGAAGTTTCCACCAGGTGGAATGCGCACAGTGGACAAGACACAGAGCGGGCCCCGGAGCCTTGGGAAAAGGAGAAGTGGGGAAAGGCACCGAATTGCTCGGGTTTAGCTCGGTTTGGTGCTGCCAGCAGGGACCCGCGTGCACGGTGCGGTGAGGCAGGCAGCACCCTGCGCCCAGCCCGGTAGGACCTCCCTGGCTTGAAGGACGTGTAAAAGGGAAGCGCTCTTGACAACACCTGCATCAGCTGGGAAAGCAACGGGGCTGCATCAGGCGCTGCCCTGCATCACCCC